CATGGGGTTATCACGGTGACGATGGAAAAATTTTTCATGTTTCTAAAGAGGGTGAATCGTACGGGCCATTGTTTTCTACTGGTGATACTGTTGGATGTTGTTTAAATTTTAAAGACAATACTGTGTTCTTTACCAAAAATGGGACATATCTAGGTAACTGTTGCATTAATCCTAAATTTTCTTATTAATATTTAGTGATAAAAAATTAATATTTTTATGAAAATTTCAAGGGAATGCGAATTTCGAAAATTTAGATTTGCAATCGCAAGCTGCTTTATATCCCTGTGTTGGACTAGAATCAAAAGATGCGTCTATAGAAGTAAATTTCGGAAATAAAAGGTTCAAATATGCAGGTAATTAGCGTAATTACCGTATTTACTAAGTAAGGCACATAGTGTTTCCAATGCTAGTAAAGCGCGACAATACTTTACTAGGGAATACTATAGTGTCACATTCATGTATTCTTATTCGGCTATGACGAAAACGTTTGGTCACATGAATATATCTATTAGATCGCAAACCTACTAAAAATTTTTTTAAAACACAGGATCGTTTATGCATAGCATCCTAATCGATCTGCATATATTCACGTGCCAAACTTTTTTATATTTATATTAATTGGATTTTGCCGTTGTCAATGTGCCAATTCATGCTAAAAAAAAATATCCGACAATAGCTGATAACTGCAAAATTCAATTATTATAAAATTTCGGATAAGAATTCAAGAGTGTTTGATTTATTCTAATATATTTTATTAATAAAAATTGTTCTTATACGTAATAGGAATCATTTATGATACTTTTAATGACCGATTTATAGACCTTAGAGCATTAGATGCTTATGAAGAGAGGATCACTATTCTTCAAACTGAAAATAAAGATTCAAAAGAGCAATTGGCTAAAATTCAAAATGACCTACAAAACAAAGAAAAAGAATTGGATGAATTGAAGAGAGAAGGCCAAAAAGCTTCTGATAATCATCTTTTAAGTTTACAGAATCTGAAACAAACCTTGGATGCCGAAGTTAATAAACTAAATAATTTTCTAGACGATTTAGTTCAAGCTAAAAAACATAATGATTCATTAAAAGAACAGTTGGTCAAAGTTCAAAATGACCTACAAAGTAAAGATGAGGAATTAAGCAAGCTCAAAAAAGAAAACGAAAAAACTGTACAAGATTATAATTTATCCTTACAAAGATTAAGTGATTCTCGTGAAGACTTGGCTCAATCTAAAATCAATAATGAGTTACTAAAAGATCAATTAATCAAACTTCAAAAAGACGTACAAACTAAGGAAGAGGAATTCAATAATTTGAAAAAGGCAAATGAAAAGGCTAAAAACGATTATGACTTGGTTTTACAAAGACTAAACGACTCTCAAGATGACTTGGCTCAAACTAAAAATGATACCGATTTATTAAAAGATCAATTAGTCAAGGTTCAAAAATCTAGGAAAATACTAAGAAATACCGCAAATGAAAAAGCCTTGAAATCTAGTATTTACAAATTAAATAACTCTCAAAAGGAATTATCTCATGTTAAAAAAAATACTCTGAAATTACAGTTAGAAAAATCTTTATTGGAAAAAACTGTTTTTAATTATCAAAAGACTTTACAATCGGTAAAAATTGAATTAAATCGAACAAAAATTCAACTTGGCAAAAAAGGACTAAACAATCAAAATAAAAAACCTGCGGAAGTAGCTATTTGTAAAATATATGAAAAACTAAAAAAAGACGAATTAAATATAAAAATAATCTATTAGTAGCTAGCTAAATATACATAGTTATAAAAAAACTTATTTAACAAACTATTATATTATTTAATGAATATTATGTACAACGTATACTTATTTTTTTAATTTGCTTATTTGTAAAAAAACATTTTATTTTATTTATTTGTAAAAAAAAAATTTATTCTATTTATTTATTTATTAATTCATTTATTTATTTCTGTATTTATTTATTTATTTGTTCTAATAATAAAAACATGTACTATTTAATCTTTCAGATAAAAAAACAACAATCATGAAACTAAAATTAATAATGAAAACGAATGGTAAATTCTTTATTATTTTAACAACTAGCATTAAAGTCTTTAATGCCTTTGACAAGTTAAAAGTGAAAAAAGTTAGATTAAAAGTGGTTTTAATTGTTCTGAAGATTCCACGAAGAAACGACAAGTGAAGTAATGAATGCATTTAGATAATCATTCCTTATGGTGTAACTTATCACTTGATAAATATTACGAATAATCATTGCAGTACTAAATGAATCACTGAAAAAAAAAAGATCAAATGATGCACTGACGTTAGGAAATCAAACTAAATGATGCAACAACATTGAGTTAACATGGTGCTGTTTATCTTATGACGAAGAGTAGTTTACAGGCATGAACGCTAAACAGTATATTAACAAACCAAATACATGTGCATTGGAATTCGTGGAGTGACCCGTCGCAAGATGAAGATACGTGAGGAATAATTCGTGGATTTACATA